AATAAATAATTACAAATAAGGCCAGTTTTGGCCTTCCTCAGAACTCTTAAAACAGCCAAAGATGGTATAAAATTTGAGGTTCAGGCAAATAATCCAAAGTTGGGCAGACCTACTGCTTATGGCTCTTGAAACCAGGCTGCCACCAAGGTCAGATGGAGTTTTGCAGATTCCACATGAGAGCAAAGTGTTAAACATGGTATGTTTGTTCTTCAGAGCCATGGGCATCACATCTGCCCCAATTTTGGTGTTTTTTTTTTTTTTTTACCTTTGCCTGATAAAGAGATCTGGGAAAACCAAAAGCTCGCCTGTGCAACTTTTTAATGATCCAATAAAGGTAGCACCCAACACAGAAGATTCTTTGTTGAAGTGTAATGTATATTTAAAAGTCTGAAAATAGTAGTGTGTAGGAATTAAATTGGAAAGAAAAGAAGAAATACAATGAACTGGAAGTCGCTGCTAGTAACCTTCTGGTAGCTACTAAAGAAGAGCACAAACCACCGATTCAGTGGTTTCTGCTAGTTTGTTTAGTGGCTGAACAGGTGTTTGATGCTTCAAAGCCCCGCCTCCTCTGGCAGGTGCCCACTCAGAGGCAGCCTCCAGAGGAGGCAGGGCAGGGAAGCCAGGCTGCTGACTCCAAGTGGGAGCTTGGCCGTTACACGAATTGGCATGAACTGCTGAACCAGTGGCCATCTAGTGGCCACAGATGACTGGAATCATAAAAGTGAGACTACATTGAAAACTGCCGCCGCTTCCTCCTTCTTCAAAAACACTAGGCACAGTCAGAATTATAAATACATTGACTGGTATTATGTAACAGATACAAGTTTTAACCAAAAAACTAAGTATCTGTTAAATATCAGCATAGTCGTATACTGTTCCTAATATTGCTGTTTTTTTGTAGCTCTGATTGTGTGGTTTCTGGGATCTGTAACTGCTTACAGTACTGTGTGAAATTTCTTGATATTATTCCCGAAGCCCCACTGACTACGGGGACCACTGAAGTGCGTTTCTCCCAGAGGCGAGATGTTTTGATTTCCAGTCTCTGTACTTGGTTAGTTTTCCCTATTCTTTATTTTCAACTCTGGCATCCCCTAGAATTGCTTCTGTTGCTGTTTGGTTTAAGGCGTCCACACATGTTTTGACTTAAGAGTGATCCATTTGGCTCCATTTTAGAGTCTTTTTAGCACAGCAGTAGGGCTACAGGTCCTTTTGGTGTGATTCGGAGCGCTCCTCATTAGCCTGTTCTGTAGCCCATGCAGATAGTTGATCCAAATACAGCCAAATTCAGTGGTGAGTGGTGCTCTCTGAGGTGACAACCCTGCGATGCGTTTGGTGGTTTGTGGCATTGAAAGGGATGGTGGAGAGGGGCCCCCTCCTCTATTTTCATCTACTTTACCATTTTTAAAAATATATTTTCTTAGTGATGCATCACTACTCTAGATAAACAAGACACATTGACAGTATTATGTGTAGATGCTCAGCTGTTCACTGTCATTATTTTATTTAACAACAACAAAAAAGGAAAATCACCACTGAATGATAGATGCAGGAAAATGTGGGAAAGGGGCACAAAGCTGAGTGTTGTTAAATGAAAAGGGGTCCAATTGAGGCAACCCAAAGACACGTCTGGGCCCTTCTTACGGTAGAAAAGATGTTTATCAGTGTGAGCAGAAGTATCGCTCAAGTGAGAGATAAAATAGATTGTACAAAGGATGAAAACATTTTAAGCACACACCATATCACTTCAGCTTTCCCGGTCTGGACATGCCCTGAGTAGCAAAAGTCATACTTCCCTCATTATACTACATTTACCAATATATTTCCCACTTAATTGTGTTTTTTTTCCCCGTTTTCATTCCCAGAATACATTTTAGGGTGAAACCTAAAACCTAGTTATCATGTCCTCAGAACTGTGGCTTCCTTAAGCGTCAAAAGGAATGTTTGTCATAGCATGATTTTTTTTCTCACTTCCTGTACCTTGCAAATCGGCACCCTTTGTTTTGCAACTGGCTTCCGGGAAGCGAACATAGGATTTATTTGCAAGTCCCAATGGCTCAGTCATGCAACTGTGAGAGAACTGTTGAAGAACTAACACGCTGTCACCTTCTGAATGACAGCTAAGCATGCGATGTAGTTTGGCACTGGCAAAACATCAACTCACTGTCACAGACAGCAAGAAAGAGACGAGATATGTACAAGGCAGTGCTTTACCTTTTTTTAGACAAGGAAATCGGAACAATTTAACTAATCCGAAATCATCTCCAGTCACCAGAACTGCATTATTATAATTTCCATCCACAGAGTTGATGTCTATAATATTACTGTACTTCGGCCAGATTCCATTCACTTCTGGTCCCATCACACATGTCCAGGAAGCCCAGTGAATCCCTTTTATCTCATCTTTGCTTGTTAGGTGCTTTCCAGCTGGAAGAAAATCAGGTTAATAAGCCACAGCCATTTGTTTTCAGGAGTAGAGATGATCACAACATTCTCTCAGTGGCATTTAAACTTCCTACCCTAAGGGATTCTTATCCCACATGAACCACATTTAATTGACTCAGGAATGCTACATGACAGTGTAAAAGGCCGTAGCTCAGGAGCTTTGCAGGTAAAAAGTCAAGGATGTTTCCTATAGCATGTCCAAGCAGGAGACTGATACATTTGAATAAGTAATATTTTTTCATTCTGAAGAAAACCTTTTCAGGAAGCAGATTGCTATGTGCCATAGCACAGAATCTAAAACACAGTATTTTAGTGTTGAGTGTGTACATGTGTGTTAAAAAGAGAGCACCTTTACCTTCCCACCATGGTGGTACCTACAGTATTTATCTACTCGCATTTTTACATGCTTTCGAACTGCTAGGTTGGCAGGAGCTGGGACAAGCGACGGGTGCTCACTCGGTCGCATGGATTCGATCTTAGGACTGCTGGTCTTCCGACCTTGCAGCACAGAGGCTTCTGCGGTTTAACCCGCAGCACCACCACGTCCCGTAAAAAGAGAGCAAGAGATTACTAATTTAAACTCGTAGATATTGATCAAACAAAATGGAAATTAATTTTTCCATCTTCTCCCCACCCCCAAATACAGTATTTATACTAACATTGAGAGTGGTCTCAGTCTTGCAGATGTTCAGTAGGACAGGCTAACACTTTAAAGCTAAGATTAATATTTTAAAGGTAAGATGAAGACTTCAAAACTGCCCAGTACAGTGGTGCCTCGCATTACGATGTTAATTCGTTCCAGTGAAATCGCTGTAGAACGAAAACATCGTAAAGCGATTTTTAAAAGCCGATAGAAACGCATTAAAACCCGACTAATGCATTCCTATGGGCTTGAAACTCACCGTCCAGCGAAGATCCTCCATAGCGCGGCCATTTTCGCTGCCCGTGTAGTGAGGAATCCGTCCCAGAAAACAGCGGGCGGCCATTTTTTTTACCCGGCGGCCATTTTGAAACTGCCGATCAGCTGTGCGAAAATCTTCGTTTTGCGATAATCGGTTAGCGAAGCAGGTAACCGATCATCGCAAAGCAAAAAACCCCATAAGAAACATTGTTTTGTGATCGCTTTTGCGATTGCAAAAACTTCATTATGCGATTTCTTCATTAAACGAAGCGCTTGTCTTGCGAGGCACCACTGTATTACAGAAAATTCTTTATCTATCCTCTGAAGGATACTTTAATCCACAAACCACGAAAAAAGTCAAGGTTTTATCAAGGACCTCTCACATCCCACCTAGTCAGCTTTTGTTTAGCTTTTAGAGATTGGGGCCTGTGTTTTTAGCCATAAAACTACAGCTAATAAAGATACCTTCTCCACTTACATGGCATCCGGTAGAAGAAGCGTTCTCCTGCACCATCATTAGTCTGCAAGAATTTACTGTCCAGAGACCAGTCAATGTGAGTGATGAAACTAGAAGACCTGTTGCACTCTCCAGTTTTCTTGTACCGCTGAGCAACTGCATAAATATCTACTGGGCCATCATTAGAACCCACTGCAAGGTAGCAGCCATCTGGAGAAAATTTCATTTCATGTATCACTTCTTTCCTATCTTTGATATGAACGACCTCTGTCATATCTCTGCAAAAGCAAGGGTTGGAAATGTTAGCAGCAGACTTGTCATTACAAGACCTAAAACATTAAAATTTGCTTTAAGTGTTAGGATAATTTGATAAATGTTGAGAGAGTGTAGTAAGCTAATACTGGGTACTACAAAGGAGCAGAGTACTAATCACTCTAGATAGTAGGTAGTAGGATAAACTAGTAGGTTAAACAATGGAAACTTTCTGTTTTATTAACTTAGAAAATCAATGTACTAACAATGATGGGGGAAAGAAACCTCTACATTTGGCTATAGAATCCCTTAGAGCTGGCATATCTACAGCAGAGAGTGGGAAAACACACTATGGCATCTATGTGATGATGGCCACTCCCTGGTTCGCACTGTTTGGGTACATTTGTATGCCATAATTTATTTTCATGTATTAATTTAAAATATTTTTTTATCTCATCTTCTCTTTAAAAAAGACCTAAGAAGACATTCCTTTCCAAGACCATCCCAAAGCATTGTGGAGGTTTCTGGACTTCCTCTATGAGTCTGAAGATCGGAAAGTGAGGGCATGTTACAAGAGTACCAAATATTAAAAAAAAAAGATTGATACAGTAGCTGGAACACAACTGCAGGATAGCCCAGTGGTTTAGGCATCTGGCTGGGGAGTCAGAGGTCAGGAACTCAATTTCCCACTGTGTCTCCTTGACAGCGGCTGGACACGACAATCTGTAAGGTCCTTTCCAGCTATGTAGTTCTACAGTTCTAAGATTATTATATATTTAGGCAAGCCCTAGGGCTAGTCTAAATTTTAAAAAAAATTCTTTTTTAAAAAAATGTAGTGGATTGCTTCCCCTTAGGATTGATCTTTAAAATACTGATGTCCAAATTCTCAAAGCAGTTATACACAATCAATTCAAAGAGGAAAAAAAATAGATTTATGGTCCCTTTGGTGACAACTTTAAGACATTTATGGCAAAATACTGTATGTTTCTTTGCAAATTAATCTATGGCTGCATAATGTGGTGAACATTTTACTTAGGTTTATAGGCTCCGTGCTTCCTGAAAGTTCTGTAGAAAAGGAACTGAGTCTCATCTAATTTGTACTGATCTGTTTTTTCTTTGACTACAGTAACTGCATTTCCAAAAAGCTTTAAGTTTGAGCTTCAAGGTACTGTTTTATTAAGCCATTTAACTATAGCTCATGTTCCATACACCCTTATTTCCCTGAAATAAACTAGTTTTGCTTCAGATTAACATGGAGAGTTAACGCTTGACCAGATAGGCGGGGTATAAATTAAAT